AGTAGTTCTCCAACCTGCATGGGATCAACATGTTCTCCTGCAGAGCAGTTTATTACCTGGTGTAAATCCAGTAGTTCTCCAACCTGCATGGGATCAACATGTTCTCCTGCATAGCAGTTTATTACCTGGTGTAAATCCAGTAGTTCTCCAACCTGCATCGGATCAACATGTTCTCCTGCAGAGCAGTTTATTACCTACAAATATATTTTGCTAATAAATGTCCTAACTAACCTAATTCTAAACAACCCTATTAGTTATTATCTTTTCGATCTATCTGTAATGTTTATCAATTTGACTATCAATGAGTAAAGTTGGAGGGATAAAGATACAAGTACATTTATGGTATATGATAAAATATGCAATCAACCACAATTCCAGAGTAAATGTAATAAGGATGTAGTTTGAATTATTAAGATATTTCTGAAACTTTTATAAAATAAAAATATTTTTGTTCTCTGTTTTGAGAGTGTAGACTACTGTTACCACTAGTCACTACTAGTTACTATTAGTTACTATACTGTTACCACTAGTCACTACTAGTTACTATTAGTTACTATACGGTTAATAATAACTAGTATAATAAACGTAATAAACATCTAAAAAGTTACACACATACACATACAAAAAATTATCACAAAGGTTTTAAATCAGATCATGCTTCCATGCTTTCATATCTTCGTTTCCAGGGTTTCCAGTTTTTCAGGTTGCTTTCCATATTTCCATAGTTGTCAGGTTTTCTGCTCTCTTGTTTTGAGATTTCCATTGTTTTCAAATATCTAGGTTTTCTTCTAAATATTTGATTGTTCTAACTAAGCCAGCTAGGGGGGACTAGACAGAGAAAACAGGAAGGAAACAGGAACATACAAACCATTAGACAGGAGGCAGGGGGATAACACGTACAGAACAGGAGGATAACAAGTAGAGAACAGGAGGATAACAAGTAGAGAACAGGAGGATAACAAGTAGAGAACCGGAGGATAACAAGTAGACAACAGGAGGATAACAAGTAAAGAACAGGAGGATAACAAGTAGAGAACAGGAGGATAACAAGTAAAGAACAGGAGGTTAACAAGTAGAGAACAGGAGGATAACAAGTAGAGAACTGGAGGATAACAAGTAGAGAACAGGAGGATAACAAGTAGAGAACAGGAGGATAACAAGTAGAGAACAGGAGAATAACAAGTGAAGAGCAGGAGGATAACAAGTAGAGAACAGGAGGATAACAAGTATCTCTGTTACTAAGGATGAGACGACTGTACAGAAATGTCTTTTTCTTGCATTTAATTTTCAGGTCATCATACATCATTCTCCATCCTTTGTGGGTAACCCTGTATCCTTACCCTACACTGTTTCAAATTTCTCAATTTGCTCAAACTGAATTTAAATCAATTTTTAATCTGAATGATTTCGTGCCGTCGTGTTGTCAGATTCTGTAAACTATTTTAGAAACTTTAAAATATTTTACTTTCTCAATGTAAAATAAAAAACCCAGTGGCGATTCCTTTTTATTAAATTCTTTTCAACTTTTAAATTTTTTTTTAGTAACCTTAAACTTCATCTAAACAATAATAAGAAACGTGTGAACTTCTGTTAGAAAGAGAATATTTCATTCATACGTGATCAAATGGATCCATTTAAGTCCAGAATACAGATGCATTAAAACTTTCTGTTTCTGTTTCTGTAAAAACTTCTTGTTGCTTCAAACCGAATATTTTTTTAATTGAAAAACTAGCATAAAATACTTTAAAAGACAGTAAAATTGTCATTCAGGGAATTTTGGTTTAAATTTGGCACATGCTGCTTGTTAAATGAGACAAGAAGATCTATTTCCCAAATTTTCGAATTACCTGAATTTTTTTCATTTTCGTTTTATACATGATTTGAGATAAAAAAAAATAGTTTTTAAACATTCAAAGAGAATATTATTGACTTTGAACAAAATTTAATGTGTTCGTAAGGGGGACTTATTCCTCGTTAATGAAACTAAATTGTTCACTAAAAAAGAAGAAAAATTGGAAGCATATCACGTACTCACAGTACACAGTACACAGTACACAGTACACAGTACACACTCTACTTAATAAGATTTTATCAACCTACATTTTTTTCATTACAAAGAGATTGGTTGGTTAAGAAAATATATTTTAGACAATAAAACTATTTTTACTGAAAATAATGAAATTCTATAAAATTCTGTTTTTTTGAATGAATGGTTGTCAGCTTAGCTTAACTTAGATTTATTGGGAAAATACATGTTATTTAAAATCAATTTAGATTAGAATTTTGAAACAGCTCTGAGATGTTTTCTGTGTACTGGGGAAAAGTTGCTTAAAACACTGTCAAGTCATGCCAGGAAATATTGGTATTTTCACAATTTTAAGATTCACGAATCCGCCAACTGAAATCCACCATATTTTTTATACTTTCATGTCAACTCACTGAACTTTCTACACTGGTCCCAGTACACATGTATGACGACATTTAGGTCGACTTTGATATTTTTGACAAATATTCTTATTCTTGATAAATTGAGCCTGATAAAAACAGTTACCCCCCCCCTCCCTTAATTGAAATTCCAGTGTATTTATTATTGATCGTATTTTTAGCATTAATAGATTTTAAATGGAATTCAAAGAAAAATCGTCATTCAATTCACATGTTTATTGGGACGCGGTGTTTTTTAAAGTTTTCAGTTGGAAACTTTTAAGTACACTGTCTGGATTAGATTAAACTTAAAGAGATCAGGGAAAGTGATTAATCTCTCCTGGGTCTTAAAACTAGAAGATTTGGCTAAAAGGTATTGAGGAGAGTTTTGAGTTCACAAAAGTATTTGGCTCAAATAAAAAATAAAAATAAAAGAATGCATTATATTTCTTGAAAATTGGGTCAGTTTTCTTATTCCCGCAGCATTGTAAACCTTGCCAGCTGGCAATCATTCATTCAAACAAACTGAATTTTATAGAATTTCATTATTTTCAGTAAAAATAGTTTTATTGTCTAAAGATATATTTTCTTAACCAGCCAATCTCTTTGTAATGAAAAAAATGTAGGTTGATAAAATCTTATATTAAGTAGAGTGCGTACTGTGTACTGTGTACTGTGTACTGTGTACTGTGTACTGTGTACTGTGTACTGTGTACTGTGTACTGTGTACTGTGTACTGTGTGTACGTGATATGCTTCCAATTTTTCTTCTCTCACAGAAATTTTCCTAAAGGGGATTCATCAATTTGACGTACCGTCCCGTCTTCCCTTACATAGTCTGTATTTGTACTGTTCAGGTTGCTCTAGCTAATTAAAAGTCTGTCCGGTACTTGAGATTAACCAGAGTTTACAGTGAACAGTCCGATACTTGAGATTAACCGGAGTTTACAGTGTACAGTCCGGTACTTGAGATTAACTGGAGTTTACAGTGTACAGTCCGGTACTTGAAATTAACTGGAGTTTACAGTGTACAGTCCGGTACTTGAAATTAACCAGAGTTTACAGTGTACAGTCCGGTACTTGAAATTAACCGGAGTTTACAGTGTAAAGTCCGGTACTTGAAATTAACCGGAGTTTACAGTGTAAAGTCCGGTACTTGAAATTAACGGGAGTTTACAGTGTACAGTCCGGTACTTGAAATTAACCGGAGTTTACAGTGTACAGTCCTGTACTTCAAATTAACCGGAGTTTGCAGTGTACAGTCCGGTACTTAAAATTAACTGGAGTTTACAGTGTACAGTCCGGTACTTAAAATTAACGGGAGTTTACAGTGTACAGTCCGGTACTTGAAATTAACAAGAGTTTACAGTGTACAGTCCGGTACTTGAAATTAACAGCACCGATTTTTTCACTCAAATATTTTTTTAAGAACATCAAACAGACATCAAATTAATGCCAATCCTATACCCCTCTAAAAACTACATGAAACATCTCTTTAAAAATGTAAATATAATGAGGAAAGGATTCACTAATTGTCAGAATAAATATAAAAAAGTAATATCATTACTTTTAGGGGAGATCTAATTCACTTCTAGACAAAGAACTTGATTATAGGTTCATTTTTGTTTTATCAAAATAAAAATAGAAAAAAAACTGAAAAAGGGAAGATTGTCGGCTTCCATGTTTCTTTCGTTTGAAATAATTTTATAATTATGTAGTTTGTAATACAACTGTTATCTATCTGTGAAACGTAGCTATCAATATTTTCAGTATTTGTATCAAGATGATTACTAAACATTCTCAATCAGTGGTAACGATATTTATCCTTGGGCAGACACAGATAATATGTTTATCTCATTTACATATATACATATATATATATATATATATATATAT